AGTAACAGCATCATTCTTCATCCTCTACCTGCCGCGTCAATCGCTGCCGTTCTCCTCTCCCGCCAGCACTCTCCCGGAACCCGATGTATCACTTCCGGAAGTGCCCACCGAGCTATTTTGATGAGATGACTCTTCCGGTCCGTAAAAGTCAGGAGGTGCCTGAAGCTAAAGTAACGGTGGAGATTACGCTTAGCATGTCAGAACAGACTTGCGGGACACAAAAAGATTTTGAGTCCGGAAAAGAAGAGTCATGAAAGTTAGAATTATAGGAAGCTTACAACTTTTTTTTCCGTCTATAAGCATCTCGACCCGGAAGGTAATCATCTAAAGCTAGCGGAGTTTCTACGGGTGCCGGGAGGAGGACGTGTGCACATCCTCATTGCACCACGAGAGGCGCCGGTGTCTCTAGTGGTGGCGCCTGCTTCTGCGGAGACTGCGGCTTCTGTCTGATTGTTTTTCCTCTCCTCCTCCATCCCTTCCACATCCCACAGCCTAGTGTAGGAAAGTGGGCGCGAGCCAATCTCGGTACCAAGTGTCCTTCGAGAGGGGAAGGGAAAGGAGGGCGCGAGCACAGCTGATGGTGCTTAGAGTGCCAGTCGCGCGCGCGTGTCTCCCAGTCCGCGCTCAGGCGCGAGGAGAACCCGAGATCCAGGCGAAGCAGCCTGGACTACGAGAGGAACCAGGGAGCAGCACAGTAAACGAGGCATCTACAAGAATGGTCCCTTCTCATTCATGAAAGTAGATTTCAAGAAACACAGGAATGCCATGCCGGGGAGGGCGTGGGGGGGCGTGGGGGAGGTATTTTACGGTCCTGGTGAAGAAAGAGGCGATGTTGTTCGTCTGAGAAAGCAAGGAAAAAAGGAAAGTTGTGTCTTTTAAGCTTAAAGTTCATTTAGTCCAGCCTGGAAAAAGTTACCAGTGTGGAAAAGCACAGATTTTTATCAGTGTCTCTGCAATGGTGAGATCATAAGGCTGAAAGAGTTTATACGTGAACTTGTGGTATCGTTTTTCTACCTACTCCTTTTTCCATCTATCTCTCTACAAAGTTTAGTTTTGTGTCTTTAAAAGAAGGAAAGACCAGGAGCTGGAAAAGATAGGCCTTTAAAACCCGCTGGTGCTTCCTATCATTTACAAGACTTGGGCTTGTTCCATGCACGTATTTGTCCAGAAGCATCACATTTCTGATATTCGCCCCCACAAAAACAAAACAAAACAAAAAACCCTGCACATTTACCCCAGCCTCTCTAAGCAGTTTAAGTTAGAAAGATAAAATCCCAGCCACCTTCCCACTTCTCTAGAAAGATACTTGTTAAAATTAATCAATAGAATACTTTGTATTTTAAGTTAGGATACACACGTGCCACAAGTATAACTTGTTTAAAAAGTTACAGGTGAAGTGGTTGGAAGTATTGTTTAAAGAATACGTTTTCAAACCCCAGGATAAATGGGTTATAATGTTTTGGTGTACATTAGTGGATTTTGGACGGCAGAGATTCCTATTTAAGAACTTGTGAAATCCAGAATTAATCAGCCCCTTGTTTTTGCTTTGTTGTTTGTTTTGTTGCTTTGAGACAAGGTCTCTATAATCCTGGTTGCACTGAACGGTTTTTGTCATCGGTTCTTAACCTGTGGGTCATAACCCCTCATCTATCTTGCATATCAGATGTGTACATTACTATTCAAAACAGTAGCAAAATTGCAGTTATGAAGTAACAATGAAATAATGTTATGGTTGGGATAACCACAGTGTGAGGAACTGTATTAAAAGGATACAGCATTAGGGAAGTTGAGAAACACTGTAGACCAAGCTAGCCTCAAAGGAGATCCATTTGTCTCTGTCTTCCCAGCACTAGGATCACAGGAATGCACTACCAGGTCTGGCTAGCCTTCTGTTGTTTTGAAGGAAAGCAGCAATAATCCCTATCTTCCCTTTTCTTTTTCTGGGAATGGTGCTTGCACACATAAGAGACAGAGCATAAGAAAGAGGCCACTAATACTTGTTTTTTGTTTGTTGGTTGGTTGGTTTGGTTTGGTTTTTCGAGACAGGGTTTCTCTGTGTAGCTTTGGAGCCTATCCTGGCACTTGCTCTGGAGACCAGGCTGGCCTGGAACTCACAGAGATCCCCCTGCCTCTGCCTCCCGAGTGCTGGGATTAAAGGTATGCGCCACCAACGCCCGGCTCTAATACTTTGTTTTTAATTGACCTGAAAACAAAGTTGCATTGGAGGAAATGTTAGCACTGGTTGGGGTGCATTTGGGGAAAGTATTTTTTGTTGAAGATATGAATTGATAAATGGGAGAAAGCAGAACCCCGGGAATGTTACTCATTTTGGGTAAAGCAATACTTTAACAGCCCAGCAAACACTTGAGCACAGTGACTGAGACAGTTACTTGGAGAATCAGCTAAGTTGTAAGGAGGAGAAACGGCAGAGAAAGAAACTGAACATAGTCTTATGTATTCTGTGGCTTATTTGTTTGTTTGTTGTGGTTTTTCGAGACAGGGTTTCTCTGTGTAGCCTTGGTTGTCCTGGAACTTGCTTTGTAGACCAATCTAGTCTGGAACTAACAGAGATCCACCTGCCTCTGCCCAGAGCACTGTGATTAAAGGCGTGCACCACCACAACTGCCTGCCTGGTCTTTATTGTGTGTTTTCAATAACGGTTTTTAGTACTGCAGTAGATTCTGCTGTATACTTAACCAGAATTCAGTGAGTTGAAACCACAAATAAAAGATGCTCAAGTGTTTTGAACAGTAGAGCTAAATTATCTACTTTTTAGCTACCACATTTTTATTTTCAATTTTTTATATTTGGTTTTCTTCAGTAAAAACCTTACAATACAGTGGTTGAAATAATCATATTTAGTGTGTGCCAGTGCAAGTGGTAATGTCCTTTGATTTCCAGGCATATGGAAATCAAAGGACAACTTTGCAGCTTTTGGGAGTCAGTTCTCACTTGCCACTGTGGGCTCCTGGGATTTCACTTGAGTACTCAGGCTTGCATAGCAAGCACTTGCTGAGCCATCTCACCAGCCCCTCAGGATTTTTGGGGTTTTTTGGTTTTTGGTTTTGTCTGTTTTGTTTTTGTCAGTACTGTTAGGAGCAAGGGGATTTACCGAGTGATTCCAAAGTGAAAAAAATAATAATAATAACATTTTTTTCTTTGAATTCATAGCATGACTTCTAGATAAATATTTCCAAAGCCACAAACTCGGTGTGTCCAAATATGAACACTGCCTCACATCTTTCTTCTGCTGTTCCAGTCTCCTTTAAAATCTTCTTGGAACCCCCTTGTATTCACTTCCTTAAATAATTCACTTTTAAGAAAAAATAATGAACTCTCATTGTTTGTTACTGCTAACACCCCACCACACACACTCACATCATCTTTTGGGGGTGTTTTTTGGTTTTGGGGTTTTTTTCCCCGAGACAGGGTTTCTCTGTGACTTTGGAGGCTGTCCTGGAACTAGCTCTTGTAGACCAGGCTGGTCTCAAACCCACAGAGATCCGCCTGCCTCTGCCTCTGGTGTGCTGGGATTAAAGGCGTGCGCCACCACTGACCAGCTACTCACCTCATCTCTTATCTGAGCTGTTAGAAATTTCTTACAGGGCTCATTACTTTGTGGTTGTAATCAATTAACTTACCCAAGGGTCATTAAAGTCAGTTTCATCTTGATCATGTATAATTAACTGGTATGATAATAAACTATAGTAAATGATTTTTTTTTAGAAGTCACCAAATAATATAATCTCAATAAATCTCAGTCCCTTCCTTTACCACCTCTATTGCCCATCCCTGCAGGGAGAAGAAATACATTGTAAACTTGAGTGTCATTCTACCCTTACCAATGTTGAGTACAAGATCTCTCCATTAGTCTGACAATAATTTTCAATGAAGGGAAGGGCACTGAAATATATTTGATTTGATGTGGGTACCAAAATTTTACCATGTATAGTACAAAAGAGAGTATGTTTTCTATTTCTAAAAAAAGTAAACTTTTAAAAGTTGTGGTAATAGCTAAACTTACTTAATTTTTTATATTAGTTATTTCATTCTTGGTTCTTTACTATATGAGATGAGTTTTCTTTTTTCTATTAAATTAATTCATTGACATGTGTATACTGGTTACCTTCTAATTACTGTTTCTTCCAACCCTCTCTTACCTCTTTACCATCCATGTCAGTGCCCCCTCTTCTCTACCTATCCCTTCTCCAGATTCATGACTTTTGGTTTTGTTGTGTGACCATTTGGTTTAGTCAGAGCCATCTGTGTGACCATTGGATTAGGATTGTCCATTGTAGCCTGCTGGGGGTCACCAGTGGCTACTCAACTGATGACAGCGATACCCTCTTTCCCTGATTTATATGCAGGAAATAGTTCAACAGTAGGGCCCTCTGAGCCTCCTCCATCCTTGTCTGGCTGTAATCAGTAGTTTGGAGGAGTTCTTGGGTGGAATGGCTGTCCGTAAGATGGCATTTTTCAGCCCTTTTTCCTGTCCGCCAGCTTTTTCTTTGTCTCAGTCTTCCACAGTGTTCCCCTGAGGTTTGGCAGGAATGCTGTAAAAGCCCTGTTTGGGGATGAGCACTCAACCATTGTTTACTCTCAACACTATGTGCAGTCATAAGACTCTAACTTCAACTCAAACCACTGGAAAGAGGCTTCTTTGGATAAGACTGAGAATGGCAACTGTCTATGAGTATAAATATGTGCATTTAGCCAGTTAGTGGTAGCACATACCTTTAATCTCAGCACTCAGGAGGCAGAAGCAGGTAGAACGAGGCCAGCCTGGTCTATAAAGAGAGTTCCAGGATAGCCAGAACTGTTACATAGAGAAACCCTGTCTCAAAAAAAAAAAGCCAATCATACTAAATTATTTCTTCAAAATATTTAATTGAAGTTTTTAATTTGGGGGCTAGGAAATAACTTAGTCAGAAAGTGCTTTCCATTCAAGATACCTGCCTGAGTTTGATCCCTAGCACCCTTGTAAAGAGCCAGGGATTCTGGTTCAACTTGTAATCTGCTGGGGAGGCACACAGTAGGCTTTCTGAGATATGATGCTAAGTGCTAAGCTAAGTGCTTAGCGCCAGGTCTAAGTCTAAGTGCTAAGCGCCAGGTCTCAGTGTTCAACCTCGTCTCACAAAAATAAAGTGGGCAGTTCCTGAGGAACAAACAGTGAAGGTTGACTTCAGGCCCCCACACACCTGTGCACATGCATGCATGCGTGCACACAGCCACACACAAGCTTCTATACACCCCACATAAAGACACAAATCCCCCCTCAGTTTCTTTCAAAGTGCCTTGTTGATTTCTCTATCATTATATAACTGTCTCAACTGTCTGTCTGGCATTGCTAATTGTTCGAACTTCTACATTCTTTTTTCTTTCTTTCTTTTTTGAACTGTTACCTCACCATATTATCCAGGCTAGTTGCTAAGTGTCAGCCTCCCAAATGGCAAAGTCCTACTCTTAAACAGAATGAGTACGAAGCTATACTGATGACATTAGTGAGTTTTTATCAAAGAGAATGCAGTGAACATGTTATCTCTTGTTAAGATTTTGTTTCACTTTCCATTTTGAACAAATTTCAGCAATTCAAGGAATGGTAGCACTGAGCCAGGGTACAAACTCCACAGCCTGACTTTAGTTTCTAGTTTCACTTCTTACATCTTAACTCTCACCTATCTCTTTTTTTATAATTTTTGAGGATATTATTGATTACAATAGTTCTCCCTTTTCTCCCCCCCCCAGTCCTACAATATATCTTTTCAAATCAGGGGCTTCTTTTTCATTAATTGTTATTGCATGTTATATTCCTAAATATAACTTTGCTTAGTCTGGATAATATTAGTTGTGTGTATGTATTGTCTTCAGGACTAACCATTTGGTATTGGGCAACTAATTGATGTTTCTTCCCTGGGGAAGATTATTTCTCTCACTGTCAGCTTTCCTTAGTTGTCTGTAGTTCTTTGTGCTGAGTTGAGGCCTATGAGACTTTGGGCTTTTCTTTGTACTGCCAGCTCACAAAAAACAAATAAACAAAAACACAGAGACTTTTATGAAAGCTTGGCCTTTGCTTAGTCTTGTTTCTAACTAGCACTTATAACTTAAATTAACCCATTTCTATTAATTTACATCTGCCTCATGGCTTTATTACCTCATCTCTGTACTGTCCATTCGGCTTGCTCTACATCTTCTGGCATCTCTGTCTTCTTCTTCCTCTCTGCCTGGAAATCCTGCCTAGTGATTGGCTGTTCGGCTTTTATTAAATCAATCAAAATGACACATCTTTACAGTATACAAAAACGATTATTCCACAACATGAGATTGTATCTCCCACTGAAAGCTTTAGTTAGGGTTTCTATTGCTGTGAAGAGACACCATGAACATGGCAACTCTTTTAAAGGAAAAGTACTTAATTGGGGTGGCTTACATTTTCAGAGATTTAGTCATTATCATGGTACAACATGGTGGCAAGCATATAGACATGGTGCTGGAGAAGTAGCCAAGTGTCCTACATCTTGACTTGCAGGTAACAGGAAGTGGTCTGAGACACTCCTCAAAGCATGCCTCCACAGTGACACACTTCCTCCAACAAGGCCATACCTCCTAATAGTGCCATTCCCTTTGGGGGCATTTTGTTTTTTCAAACTACCACATTTCATTCCCTGGCCCTTATAACAAATAACATAATGCAAACATGTTTTCAATCCAAATTCAAAAGTCCCCATAGTTTATCACAGTAAAGTTCGGGCTGGAGAGATGGCTCAGAGGTTAAGAGCACTGACTGCTCTTCCAGAGGTCCTGAGTTCAATTCCCAGCCACCACATGGTGGCTCACAACCATCCGTTATGAGATCTGGTGCCCTCTTCTGGTGTGCAGATATACATGGAAGCAGAATGTTGTATACATAATAAATAAATATCTTAAAGAAAGAAAGAAAGGAAGGAAGGAAGGAAGGAAGGAAGGAAGGAAGAAAGAAAGAAAGAAAGAAAGAAAGAAAGAAAGAAAGAAAGAAAGAAAGAAAGAAAAGCTGGCTAGAAACAAGGCCAGGCACTCATAAGTAAAAATAAGTCTCCTTGTATCTGGAAGCTGGGTGGTAGGCCCCTAAAGAATAAGGAAAAAAAAAAAAAAAACTATAGTAGACCACTTACCTGGCATAAATGAGGCCCTGGATGCTACCCAAGCACACTGAAATTATTGAAATGCTAAGTTGGCTTGCCCCAGACTTTGATAAAGAAGGAGAAGTTGAGAGGTAGAAGTTCCATTTTAGATAGCTCTATAATTTGAGTCTGGTGTGATGGTGCTGCCCTCACTGAGGACACTGAGGCAAGGGGAGCAGGAGATCAAGGTAACCTGGATTCATTGCAAGACCTGTCTCAGAAAAAACAACTAAACTGTAAAATAAAGAACTGGTAATTGACCATAATGAGAAGTGGGTGTGAGAAGTGGCGTGCCATCCTTTGCTGGTTTTTCTCCAGAAAGAGTGGAATGTGCTGGGCGTTGGTGGTGCACGTCTTTAATCCCAGCACTCGGAAGGCAGAGGCAGGCAGATCTCTGTGAGTTCGAGACCAGCCTGGTCTCCAGGTCGAGTACCAGGATAGGCTCCAAAGCTACACAGAGAAACCCTGTCCCGAAAAACAAAAAACAAAAAACAAAACAAAACAAAAAGTGGAATGTAAAGTGAGAAAACCTTAGTGGGACTGGATCCTCGTTAATCAAACTGAATCTAAATAGGATGGCTTTGAATTCTTCCTGCATGTCACCTCTGAATGCTTTCTGAGGCTGTTCTCCCAGAAAGTCACATGAGAAAGGATGCTTTAACATTTTTTAACTATTCTAGTACTTTGACTAGTGACCCATGTTTGAGGGAACCTGAACAAATCTCACTCCCTTACAGAGAACTTTCAACGGAGGACTGTGGAGACCATCTATATTGAAATGGAGAACCAAGAATCAACAGATTCGTCTCAGAGCGCCAAACAGCACATTATTTCAGAGGAGGTAGAGTTTGCTTTTCCCTATCCATCCTTTCCCTTCCCCACATAACACTAAGTTTAAAATGAATGTGCAGGCTTTTTCTTTTTCTTTTTCTTTTCTTTTTTTTTTTTTAAACTGCCATGGGGTTTTCATTCTTGAAGATAGTTTTCAAATGTTTTTCTCTCCCATTTCAAAGCTAAGCCACATTTTGTTATTGTCTGAGTACAGTGGTTTATCCAACTTAATTATATGTATTAATGAAATTGAGAATAAGTAGATTTCTTCTCCTGATAGGGAAATTCTTCTTTCTAAACATTGCCTTGGATAGGAAAACAAATAATTTGTGGTTTTGCACATAATATGTGGCTTTTAGATTTCATATTTAGTAATTGCATTTTAGCTGTTTGTCATCCCAGCATAAATGTTTAAAATAATAAAAACTTAAATTGTTCATCATAGTTCAAATTCCACTGAGTTCTAGAACTAATGTTATGGAATAAAGAACTGAAGTTATTGAATAAAGCTTTTAGGGTCTTTTTCTCTTAGGAACCAAGTGTGTTGTGGTGGATAAATTTTAAAAATTCAGCCTGACGGTGGTGGCGCACGCCTTTAATTCCAGCACTCCAGAGGCAGAGGCAGGCGGATCTCTGTGAGTTGGAGACCAGCCTGATCTACAAGAACTAGTTTTAGTACAGGCTCCAAAGCTACACAGAGAAACCCTGCCTCAAAAAACAAAACCAAAAAAATTTAATATTCATCCTGGAATTCTGGTCCTGACACTTCTCTGGAATTCTTTTTGATTTAGAATCTTTCCATGCTGTCTGTGAACAGATCTGATAATGATTAGGACGGTGTTGGCAAGAAGGGATAGGGAGGGGACTAGTAAGAAAAGGCTGTTGCTTTAAGTTCACAGTGAAAAGTCTCCGCAGCTCGGCCTAATGCCATCGGCGAGTTATGCTCCCAAACTCCTTGGTGTGTGGGCAGAGAGTTCCTAATGCCTGTCTTGGATTGAGTGGGAACTTGGGTGTCAGAAAGGAAATCTAGTCTTTGATTTGTTTTCCTAATAAAATTTTACATACAACTACACACCAGTGCGGCCAGCTTTGCACACATCCCTGGCTGGGGTTAGGACTTGAGAAACACCCAGAAGATCTCTCCATACTGTACTGCCTTCTGTTGCCTCTTCCTCCTCAGCCCCAGTGTTATTTAACGTGCCTACTGCCAAGGGGCCACACCTGCTCAACTCCCACCCTAGATTCCAATTCTTCCCCTCTTAGTTCTACCTAAAAAAATAAAGGCCACACTCTTAGGGAAACAACTTTGAGTAATTATTCCAAGGTAAACTTGCCCACAAATTATTGGGAGGGAAGCAAATTGAGGGGGAGGGGGATGTGGATTTGAAAGAATACATGTTTTAATTTAAAAAAAAAAAAACTTGGTTTGAAATTTTCCTACTTTATAACTATCTGATTTTGTTTTAGTTGATTTCAGAAGGAAAATGGGTCAAATTTGAAAAAACAACTTACATGGATCCTACTGGTAAAACTAGGTAAGTTTTTTTCTTTTCTTTCTGCCTTTAGTTTTTCCAGGGCTCTGTTGATTGTCTGGGTGAACACTGATATTTCATCATTGTAAGCTCTCTTTTAAACAGAGTCGAGCCCAGCTCTTACTCCATTGCTAAATGTTTGGGTCATTGAAACTCTCTGAATAAAACTGAATTACAGTTGTTCCTATACCTAATCTAGAATCCATATTAACTCCATTCTCCATAGCATTGTGGACCTAAAACTTGTGATTCTGGCTTAACAAGCTATAGAATACTCAACAGTGGGAGCTGGAGAGATGGATCAGTGGTTAAAAGCACTGACTGCTCTTCCAGAGGACCCGGGTTCAGTTCCCAGCACCCACATGGCAGCTCATAACTGTCCATTACTCCTGTTCCAGGGGATCCAATACCCTCATAATGACATTCATTCATGCAGGCAAAACACCAATGTACATAAAATAAAATAAATAATTAGAAAAAAAGAATACTCAACAGTGTGTATTGCTTCCTTCCAAATTTTTAATGTTTGAGTTAGAATAACTAAAAAGGAAATAAAACCATTAATGGTTATTATATTTAAAAGGAAGCTATGAATACTGCTGAGTGGTATAGCACTTGTCTAGCATTTGCAAAGCCCTGGGTTTGATCCCATCCACAATAAATAAGCAAACAAACAAATCAGTTGCAATAAAATGTGTTAAATAGGTTTAGTATTTACTAAATGAAATGTATTAAGGAATAAAATAGAATAAATTCCATTTGCTACACAATCATGGTAGAATCATGTTTTTTGTGTGAGCAAATGCATTTCCCAAGATGACAATACATAGATTTGTTGATGATTGAAACAAATGTTAACTGTTTCTGCTGAACTAGCCCAAACTTTAATAACATACTAACAGACAGCAGACAGAACTAAATATGGAGTAAACAGAGGATGGGTGCAAACACAGGGCAAACCATGCGGTAAGACCTATGTGCAGTGGATTTACATTATGGAATGTATAGATACTAAAACTCAGTCAGTATAATGACAGTTTGGCTCTATTTCTCTGAAAATGAAGTTTATAGCACAAAATGCAACCTTTAAGAAATCTAAAGAATATATGACAGTCCACACCATCTTGTATCGTCACCTGACTAGCCTTCAGGTATTTACTGATCAGGAAAATATATGTCTAAGTCATTGTCCCAAGTAGGGCAACTGTTACTGCAATGAAACAACATGACCAAAAGCAACTTTGGGAGGAAACAGTTGGTTTAATTATGCTTCCATATCCCTGGTGATCATCAAAGACAGTCAGGACAGGAACCTGGAGGCAGGAGTTGATCCTGAGGCCCTGGAAGAGTGCTGCTTACTCGTACTGGCTTGCTCCTCGTCACTGGTTTGCCTGCATTCTTATAGAACCCAGGGTTGGCACCAATCATAATGGGCTGGACTCTCCTACATCAATCACTAAGAAAATGCCCTATGGGCCTATACATTTTCTCAAATGAGGCTCCCTCCTCTCTGGTGACTCATAGCTTGTGTCAAGTTGACATAAAACTACCCAGCACAGCCATCTGGGGATATTTTCCCCAGGGTTTCTATTTCTGAGTTTCATTCCAGAGAGTCTAGTCTTTAATTTGGGAGTGAGATTTTAAGTCTACCTACCATGTTTTTTGCTACCTGTGTGGAACATATTCGCTTTTCCTCTTCCATACATAACTCTTTCTCCTGGTCATTGATGAAGGGTTATGTACAGCATTAATAGCTCTTACCATAATGTCAAGCTTTGAAACATGACTATAGACCATGTTTTATTCATTAAAACTCATTCTCTGTTACCTCAAAGAAAAGCATATGTATAAATGCATATGATAAAAATAGTTAGAGAATGTTTTTACTACCAAAACATTCATGGAAGAAGGGATATGGAGTTAATTCTAAAAGTGTTCAGCACTTACATTGGCATTCAAGATGGGGGCTGAGTTGTCCTTTGCTACCTCCTACCTCCTGCACCAGTGGCTAGAGGGAAAGACCAAGAAGAGACCAAACAGTGGAGTGATTTAAATGGAAACCCAATTCTAAATCTGAAGAGATTTTTCCAGATCTTTACTTATTCCTGGATTATACAAAGGAGGAAGTTATTGGAGCTTTGGGTTTAGCTGGGTAAGCTTTTGTCCCCAGCAAGTACACATCTGTGAGTTCTAGGAGACTCTGAGCTGTCTGGGCATTCTTGTTGTAGTGTTTGGAATGTGTTTTTATTCTACTGCTCATAATGTATGGCTCATTACTGCTCATTTACTTCACCTTAACCACTGTAATGATGCTACTCTCTCTTTGTTTTCCTTATTCCTAGTGTATTTGGGATGGGACCTTCAGTGCTTTTCCCAGCACTGTCTTCAGTCTTTAGGACTAACCTTAAGAGGCAGCAGAGAACTATGACAAAAGGTGTTTTGTCTCTTGTAATCTGTATTACTTATTGGAAATTGCTTGTTGGTTGGCTTTCTTGCTACTAACAGGAATGTTAGGCTACCATGAGTTGTCAGTTTGTTTTTATTTTCACATGGTTGCCTTGCAAAACTTGGATGTAGTGCTGACAGGTATATAGCTTATAGAAAGGGTTTTTGTTTATTCTTGTTTTAAGCCAGATTAAATATCTGGAACTTTTTGTAGGAATGTGGTATTATCTGACCTCAAGGACAACCACGGGGTAAGAGGGGGTATGAGCAAGAGGGTCCCTTAGAGTAAGTAGGATGTCCTATAATTTACTGTACTTTGCCTAGTCCCTAGAGCCATCTAGATTATAGCCCCACCTTTAAAACACAGCCTAAAGTTTACCCAGGCACCTCCATCGTTATTTTAACACTGCTTCCCCTGCCAAAAGAGGTGAAATTTCCTGTTATTGCCTCCCCCTTTTGAACAGTGTGATTTTTTTTTTCCCCTGTACCTGATGTTCGCCTAGGAGCATCATCTAAGAGTAGAATAGCAGAGATATTACCAAAACCCACAAACAGCCAGGACAAACAAATCACTAACATGAAGTGAATCCATAAAAGGGGCAAGAATATGATGTCAAGCACTTCACCGCTTCCTCTAAGGACTTGTCTTTTTCTCTTACTTAAGGCTGCACTCATGCAAAGAAACTCTGATTCCTCAGAGAAGTGGGAAATTCTGCTTTCTTGAATTGCATAGTTTAGTCACATATTTTAAACCTGCATAATTTCAGTGGTTCATTTTGTGCATGGCATCCTTTGTTCTTGGAAATGCATCTGGAATGTCCCTAGGGGCTGACTGCATCACTTTGGAAAGGCCTAGACAGCTGCACTACCAGCTTATGCTGCTCACTGTAGACTTAGAATTCCAACTAAAGTATTCTGGGGACACAGGGACTCCAGTGCTCAGCCACTTTCTCCTGCGTTGGCAGCCAGAAGCCCAGGTGGAGGGCAACAACAGTTTTCTTTCTATTCACATGTGCTACAAGAAAGCACAGTTGGCTGTTTAAGTACAGATCTTTACTGTGGTCCTTGACCACTTCATTAGCATATTTGCATGCATTTCGTTTATGAAGTTCTGATAGTCTACAGAAAACCTAAGACCATTCTCCCTTTTGCCACTAATAATTTTTTTCTTTGTTCTCTGCCTGAATAGAACTTGGGAAACAGTGAAACTTACAACCAGGAAGGGACAATCTGCTGACGGTATGACTACTATAACTTTCTTTATGAAGGAAGTTAGCACATCAGTTTATAAGATGGTGTTTAATATAACCAAAGACCTCAAAGCAGAATTACCCTCAATTAGGGTCTTTTCTGTGTGACTCTCCTGTTTTCATAATGCTGTGTTCCAGAGGTTTCTGTATAAGTAAGTAACTCCTGGCTCCTGTTTTCTAAGCTAAGAACAGTGTCTGAAAGAAAGATGTGTTAACCTTTATAGCCAAGCATATGTCAATATAACTTGAAGATACATGCTATGTCTTCCTATGTTAAGACCACTGGAGTCCTTTATACTCTGAAGGTGAGTGCCTTTTGGTGTATTGAAATGATCTCCCTGCCCTCATGCTACAGTTGAGAGAAAAGAGAATTGGGAAAGGTTTCAGTTCATCTCCCCTTCCAGTCATAAATGGTTTGGCCGCAACCACTTCAGAAACATTCTGGTAGCCACACATGGTCTGCCAAAGCTGAGCTTTTTGTTTTTCTATCTTGATTTGGTTTGTTTTTGTGGAGGCAAACAGTTGTTTTGCTATAGCTGCTCTTCACTGTCAAAGCATTTGGGAGATGCTAACAATCCTGGTTGGTAGTATCTCCACAGCCAGTAGCTTTCTGGTTTTGTTTTAAGGTCAGATTATTTGAAGGAGAAGAGCTTATATTCTAAAAAGGTAGAAGTCAATCTGTTGATGTAGAAGACACTGGCCTCTAGCTTAAGGGAAGTCTAGCGGCATGCAGACCACTCTCTTCACCCCATGTCACTTCACTGGCTGCTGCATGGGAAGCAGGGGCTCCCCATCCTTGGCCATGTTTAGTTTCAATTTTGGCTTCAGTTTTTAAGAAATTATGGCTGGGCCTAGTGCTGCACACCTGTAATCCTATACATTTGGGAGGCTAGAGCAGGAAAATCATGAGTTTGAGTTAGCCTGGGTAGTAGAAACAACATAGTCAGACTCCATCTAAAGTAGAAAAGGATCTTATGACAACTGAAAACAAACTTTTTATACTTAAAAGAGTATTTTTAAAATGTGACAGATGATACCAGCACTTGGAAGGCAGGGGCAGGCGGAATTCTGTGAGTTCAAGGCCAACCTGTTCTACAGAGTGAGTTCCAGGACAGCCAAGACTGTTTCACAGAGAAACCCTGTCTCAAAAAAACAAAAAAAGCAAAAAAAGAATTAGCCTTGCAGTGGTGCCACATGCCTTTAATCCCAGTACTCAGGAGGCAGAGGCAGGTGATCTCTGTGAGTTTGAGGCCAGCCTGATCTACAAAGCTATACAGAGAAACCCTGTCTCCAAAAAATTAAAAAAGAAAAAAAGTGACAGATGTGTTGCTTTTGTCACACACACACACACACACACACACACACACACACACACACACACACACGCTTGGTTTTTTGAGACAGGGTTTCTCTGTAGAGCTCTGCAGACTAAAGGTGTTCACCACCACTGCCTGGCTTACTTTTTACATTATTAAATGAGACTAGTTTCAAAGTTGGCTGCCAGCACGGTAGAATAAGTTAATTACTCACTGCCTCTACAGCAAATTCAGAGTGATTTGGATGCATCTTCAAATCTGGAATTTATGTTTGTTTGCAGTGCACAGGTTGCTGGCCTGGCTGATCTTAAGGATTCCTTAACTTTGTTTCTGTTTGACAGTCGTGTCAATCATCCCAGTGCTGCAAAGAACTCTTCATTATGAGTGTATTGTTCTGGTGAAGCAGTTCCGACCCCCAATGGGTGGCTACTGCCTGGAGTTTCCAGCAGGTGAGTAACTCCATGCAGGTCCTTTGCCTGAGACTAAGCATTGCATTGCTTACATCTTACCATCTTTTCATCTGTCCAAGTAGCTGTAAGTAAATAATAAACATTTCTAAGGCTAGGGAAACTGGCTCAGCTGTTAAAGCACTTGCAATGCAAGCAAGATGACTTGAATTTGGATCCCTGGAACCCCATGTCAAAGCTAGGTGGGTATGGAGGCTTACCCAGAATCCCAGCCCCCGGAAGGTGGGCAAAAGGATCCCTGGAACAAACTGGCTAGTAAGACTAGCAATATCAGTGAGCTGTAGGTCTGACTGAATGACTGAATGATCTTGGGCAGAAGAGTGATTGAGGAAGATTCTCTCTTTTTGGTTTTTAGAGGCAGGATTTCTCTGTGGCTTTGGAGGCTATCCTGCAACTAGCTCTTGTAACCCAGGCTGGTCTCGAACTCACAGAGATCCGCCTGCCTCTGCCTCCCAAGCACTGGGATTAAAGGCGAGCACCGCCTGGCTTGAGGAAGATTCTTACACCAACATTATGCATATCCTCGATATGCACATAAACAAATACATAAAAAGGGAGGGAAAAAAAAAAGTTTCTATAATGAGGCTACCCCTGACCACGTTTGGGATCAGGCAAAACCATGTACATGTGAAGCTCAGTGGCCACACCCTCTTTCCACATAGCTCTATGAACTCAGTCTCCCAGTAACTGCTTCATTCATTTATCAATTTATTTCCTTTTCTGTCACTAGCAGCGTCTTTCATTCACAAGAATTTTACAGTAGTCAGCAGCTAAGACTCTAAATGGCAAAAAGCCATAACTAAAGACACCTTGATCTGCCATAATCAAACAGGGCAAGAAAACTGTCTTAATTTTATCAAAGGTATTTTTCAGTTCTGCTGTAATTAAAGAAACCATCCAGAATTCGATATGCAGTGTTATAGCAATTTATTGGGCTGTACTCACATGAAGGAATGAATAAACCCCATGTAGTTTTCAAAAGTGGTATGCTTTTCAGCTCGGTTCATGAAACCTGGTAGGGTTTGGGTACATTGTTTACCCAGTTTGGACAAAGCTCTGTGCCACATTCCGAGGACTGAAATGGGAAAGCCCAGTTCACTGAAAATATATAGTTAGCTCTTTTCTTTCTCACTTGCCATTTTATTAAGACATTAATTAGCCAAGTGGTGTCGGCACACACCTTTAGTCCCAGCACTTGGGAGGCAGAGACAGGAGGATCTCTTTGAGTACAAGGTCAACCTGGACTACAAAGCAAGTTCCAGGACAGCCAGGGGTGTTAACATAGAGAATCCTTGTCTCAAAAAGCCAAAACCAAACAAAAAGTTAATAACACTGAAAGTGATTTAATAATTTAACAACCTACATTTTACTTGTTCTTTACACAGCTGCATCCCATTCGGGAAAATGAACCTGAGTTGTTAACTTTCCCCCTGTGTGGCCTATCTGTTCCTCATAGTGACCATAGTACTGATCTGCTCCACAGCCTTCAGGGCACTCCCTCCTGGCACTTCATTGCTGGGCCTCATTATTTTTCTGTGATGAAAGAAAGCAAGATAAGTAAACTGTCACAATACAAAAAAAGGGAACAAAAAGAATCAGCCTCTTATATGATAGTCACATAACTGACTCTGAAATCTAGGCCATTTGGCCACCACCAAATCATCTTTCCTCACAGTGTTATCCCTCTTGTATAGAACATGTTTGAGATGTTCATGAGAAATACCTAGAGTATTTCTGTAAGCTACTTAGTATGCAAGGGTCACTGTGATTCTACGTCAGCTCCTGAGCAACTATTAAAAAGATGTTCAGAGAACACTGACTTCCATCTGTCCTCCAGGGCTCATCGATGATGGTGAAAGCCCAGAAGCAGCTGCTCTTCGGGAGCTGGAGGAAGAAACTGGCTACAAAGGTGACGTTGCTGAATGTTCTCCAGGTTCGTATTACTCTTCAGGTGTTAGTTTCTTGACCATTAATGAAAGCAGGGGTTCTTTATGGTTGGAATGCAGGCAGAGAGGAACCAGGGGTTTAGATTGGTTTCCAGCCAGCGCAGTGACACATATTTGTAATCCTAGTCTTCACGGGCTGAGGCAGGAGGATTCTGAAGTGAAAGTCATCAAGGGCTACACAGTAAGACAGTGTTTCAGTGCCCTCCTTCCTCCTTCCCCCCAATTTAAAAAAAAAAAAAAAAAAAAGGGGTTGTTCTCCATGAGTGAGTGAACTGAGTGAACTGCTCTAATGAATGAGAACAAATTGGAGAACCGAAACTGGAAAATTATGAAACCTAGTTGTCTTCAGAATAGTGAACCTTGCTACTTACTTACCTATCTGTGTCATACTCCTCACTGGATTTGTTTGAAACATCAGAACCATCTAACCCCTGACTTCCAGGAAGTTTGAGTGCTTTTTCAGTATATACATGTTCTGCAGTCTGGTAGCCTCTACTGACTAGATAATTGAATTAACCTCAGCCCCACCTCTTCTGTGACATTTAGTGAAACAAGTAGCAAAGGACTGAGGCACTTAAGACAAGCTGTCACTTCTTTTCCCAGCTGTGTGTATGGATCCAGGCTTGACAAACTGTACCACACACGTGGTGACAGTAACCATCAATGGAGATGATGCAGAAAATGTAAGGCCGAAACCCAAACCAGGTAAGGGTGTGTTAGATACATTCAAGCTGGTTGAGCTACATTGAGTATCTTTTAACTTGCTAAAATAAGCATAGTTTTCATTGAAAGAATCATAGTCTGCCTCAGGTTCTTTGTGGATACTGCTTCCCATTGTTGGATAGGTATTTTGGCATATTCTCTATAACATTTGTTTTGTTTTTATAAAATGCAATATATGTTGTCTTCATGTGTAAGAACAGCAGAAGTTAAAGGCCTTTATTCAGCTGAGTTTTATATTAAGAGAGTTTGTAAGGTTATTCTTTGCACTAAAATATCCCCTAGCAAGTTGGGCTTCAAAGGCATTAATACACAGTCAATAGCTGTCCTTTCACCCACCTCTTTGAAGTTAGGTTGATGGATAGATTATCAGTACACAAACACCATAGTTTGAGTGGTAATTTCTTATCCTTGTAAATTATGTATATGATTAATTATCTCTTTGTAGCCAATTTTAATTAAGCCAATTAATTAAGCCAGTGCTTAATTGTTTAAACTTCAGATATTCAAAAGACATGGAAAACATTTAGGAGCCCCTCAAAAAGTTAAATACAGAGCTATCTAAAATGTCTGTCGGGCAAGGTAGCACACACCTTTAATCCTAGCACTGGGGAGGCAGAGGGAGATAGATGATCTCTACAAAGAGATTCTAGGACTGTTACACAGAGAAACCCTGTCTTCAAAAACAAAACAATTGATCTAGAATACAGTATTTCCAAAAGGGATAAACTATTAAAAATAACTGAAAACAAGAGACTCGGGTTCTAATGTAATTGATAGTACCATCACTCACTGTAGCCAGAAGTATCGACTAGTCAGGATTCTATCAGCAGATGAAATAAAGAATTTTGATGAATGCTACACTATGAATGAACCTTGACAGCATTGTGCTAAGTGAAAGGGCAAACGTGTAATTCTACTGGTATGAAATACCTAGAATAGACATTCATGGAGACAGAAAATGGAAATTCCCAGAGATGGAGAATTACTGTTCAGTGAATTCCAACTTTCAATTTGGGGTGAAAATTATTGTGAGCTTAAGAGTGGTGATGTTTGCACAACTCTTACTTCATCTTGCTGAATTTTCATTTAAAAATGGTTAAAATGATAAATTTTGCATTGTATATTTGTCCATGGGTATAAATGTAGCAAACATGCTTACAGGATATGCTTTATATTTTGCTGTGAAATGTTTGATTTGGAGAATAACAATGCTATACTATTGAAATTGACTTTACTATGATATATTTATGAGAGTCTTGGGTTTCTGTGAGATGCTTTTCCAGGCTTTATACCTACACTGAAGTCTTCTAAAAGCTTGCCACAGCACATTGTACTAAAATATAAATGTTATTCCCTCTTTTTATTTGCAGGGGATGGAGGTATGCTATTCAACTCCCATTGGCTGGTCCTGTGATGGTTTAGTGTAGTGGTAATGATGGCTGCAGACATTTGGGGCTGTGGGTTCACTCCTGTTCCTCAGCTTTGTTTTCACTGTATTCTGTTTGTTTAGAATTTGTGGAAGTGATTTCTTTACCAAAGAATGACCTACTGACTAGACTTGACGGTAAGCACCTTAAGGTTATTACCCAGCCTTCTCTTGGTTCCTCCTCTCTATCCACTAGGGCATTAGTGTAATTCCTTTATCTTCATCTCAAAATGTCAGACACCTAGAAACTGTTGAAAACTACTGTTGACCAATGCTAGTTTTCCATTTCAAGTGATGTACAGTTTGAAAATTTAAGAAAAAACATTCTGTGTCAAGGTAAAGCTTTAATAAGGGACTTTTTAAAATTTTTCCCTACATAATAGTGATTTTCCTGCTGTCTAACCAAAACTATTGAATGCTTAAGATCTTTGATCTATGGATGGATAGATGGCTCAGAGATTAAGAGCACTGGCTACTCTTCCAGCGGTCCTGAGTTCAATTCCCAATAACCACAAGGTGGCTCCCAACCATCTGTAGTGAGATCTGATGACCTCTTCTGGTGTGCAGCTGTACATGCAGATAGAGCACTCAGAGACACACAAATAAATCGAAGGAAGAAGGGGAGGGAGGGAGGGGAGAGGGAAGGAAGGATGGAGCTTTGATCCATACCAGTGCCAAGGTGTAAATATGTAGCTCAGCTATGCTGGTATGTTAGTTATTCTTTGTGGACAGTCAAGCTAAAGACTCTTTTTTTTTTTTTTTTTTTTTTTTTTTTTTTTTTTTTGGTTCTTTTCGAGATAGGGTTTCTCTGTGTAGCTTTGGGGCCTATCCTGGCACTCAACTTTTGAGAAGCTGATGTAAAATGAACCTTAGTAAATCAGTGGTCAGTTGGTTTAGATCAACCCATCCCACAAAGACAATGCAAAATCCTGTTAGATTTTGATAGACCTTCAGTGAGAGATACTGTTAATGAAGAGGTGCCAGAGGCCTTCCAAAGTGGATCCCTATTCACTCATTTGTCAAGAAGAGCCTTTCATGATCCCAATTTTTTTATGGGTTCTCTTTCAGGAAACTGACAACTTTTTTTTTCCTACTGTTTTTCAGTAATTACTTTGAAGATTAACACAAAATAACAAGTATTCATAGCCCCGAAACTCTAAGAGGAATCCTAATTCTTCCCATGCCAGTGGCTTATGGCTTCACTTAAGAAGCACAGAGCTCTAAAAACTATGATTTTATATTCCCAGACAGCTTCAATTTCTTCAACTTTTCAAAAACTAGATCTGAGATAAAATCATCTCAGTACCACAAGGCCAAGTTAAACATTATCTATTCAGAAACAGCCATGGTATCCAATATTAAGCAGTACAGCTAATGATCAGACAGACCTGATGGGTTTGAGGCTCTGTTGCCATTATCAGTTACTAGCCTCTCATTTTCCTAAATCAATTAAGTCCCGTCCTGTGAGGATATGAGAAAAATTAAACAGATAATATAGGTCAAGTACTTAACCCCCAGGTGCTTGAATAATATGTGACAGATGTCTTTATCCTTTATAGAATTCCTTCTCTCATTCACCTGACTTCCCTTCTGGTCTTAGATAATTCACCAAGAGAGGAGGGTGAAACAACTAGTTTACCTAGCCAGTATAATTAAATATAGTAATCAACTTTCGTGTTGGTTTGCCAGAGTGGCATACACTTCTGCCATACACGGGTGAATAAGATATGAACCCTGACCTCAAAGTCTTCTTTGAACTTATTCCCAAGCAAGTGGCTAGGAGACAGTGAGCCACTGAGGTGGCTGAGTGCTGAGCTTGATGAGGCATCTAAGTCACTACTTTAATCCTTTCCTCTCTAATTTTAGTGTGTCCCAAGCATCTAGTATAGACTGGCATACAGTGTGAACAGTGATTGACTAGACTCTCCTGTCATTGTCTCTAAACTGTCTTCTTTGCTTCCTTAGCTTTGGTAGCAGAAGAACATATTACAGTGGATGCCAGGGTCTACGCCTATGCTCTGGCACTGAAACACGCCAACTGGAAACCATTCGAAGTGCCCTTCCTCAAATTTTAAGGCCAAGGAGGACACTGGCCGTGTTTTGTAAATGAGACGACAAGGCCTTCACTATTCAATGTGTTCAATTAAGTTTAATGTAGATTGGAAATCATTTTTTTATTCATAAAATAAAAGCAGCACAGACTAAATTGGGTATGGAATTGTAATTACAGAGAGGATGAAACCTTCATTTAAACGTGTTAAATGCTCATGAAAAATAACATAAATGTAAGTAGGTATGTTAACATTTTTTTTAAACCTTACCTAGTCTAGAAAGTGAGGGTATTTCTCAGGAATAGACTTGAGCTCCAAATTAGGTCAGCTATTTCCACCCTCAACTCCTAAAATAAAAATTATGTACTTAGGTCTGCAAATAGCTATTGGCTTCTCCTAACTCTAATTGATTTGCTATATGGAATTTTATCTGGATAGTAGATGTAAAATCAACAGAGAATAACATCTGTGGTAAATTTTTAGCTACTTGTGGTACATGCTTGTAATCCACCTTCTTAGGAAGTTGAGGCAGAAGATCATAAATGTGCCCAGCCTGGGCTGCATAATGAAACTTTATCTCAAAAGTAATTTTTAAAATGTATTTAATACCCTTATAAGGCCATTTAATTCCTAAAAGGCATACCAAAACTAATGCTTCAGTAGTGAGCATAGTTAATTCTTAATGTATTAAAGCTAAGAGACTGAAAACTCAGGGCCCTTCCCTCAAATGTATGCATACTTAATTTCCTATCTTTACCTCAGAAAATTGTTCTCTAAAGCAAAATCTATAGTAAAAATTACACTGGAAATGCAGCAATGGTTGAGTGCACACCATACCTAAAGTTCATCCCCCAAGACTTCTGCCAGTGTTCTGGGATCATTTCCTTGTTCTGATGAGCTCAAGGATTGTTGTCTTGCAGTTCAGCCATTTGCAGCACTCTCAGCATGATGCTTGCTGGCCAGCTCAATATGTTTGCAGCTGGATCCAGGGTTAAGGCAGACTTCTCAGAACATTATAAAAGGGTTTTCCCATGTACAGTCAGGATCAATGCTAAGTGTTATCACCAATGGGTATTTTTATCAACAAAAATGTAAGCTCTTTATACAAAAATCTTTAGATTGTTCTTAAGGATGGAAATAATTCTGGAACTTTATAGACCAAGTCTGTTTTCCTAATGAATGTGAAAATTAAGACCTACTCTTTTATACTACAGTAGCCTTTCCTGTGATTCTAACCCTTTAAAACAAAAAAATTGTTTTCTAATAATGGGCATGATATTTCTCCAAAGATACTTTTTTCCCCATGAGTTCCCAGGATCTCTATTTCCCCTTGTTGCTTCCATCCTTCGAAATGAAGACACCGGCTCCACACATTCGTCCTCTCCACAGAGCAACTCTAGGACCAGGTGCAATGGGGAATGGCCTTTGGCACCGATTTGTCCCATTCTTCCTGGCCTGTGTCTCTTTCCTCTTAGGAGTACAACTGAGTGGTGACAGCTATCTCCTAGACTTGTCCTTAGTGCCATCTGTATTACCTATGAACCTCAGAGGGCCTGCTTCGGAGGTGAGGTCAGACACAAGAGAGCTAGCTGTCTGGGTGTCTTCACTCCTCACAAACTGTTTATTTGCCTATATCTGTGCACTCACTTGTAAACACAGAACCCCGGGGGTGTTTGCGGTGCCTGACCTCCACTCATGCCTTGCCTCTCTAAGTTATCTGACTTCCTGATCCAAGCTAAGTCAGTACTACCTCCCGTTCCTACTATGAAAACTGATGACTGAAAACTGTACTTGGACCAAAAACTAAATTTGGTAATTTTTTTTTTTTTGAAAAATAAAGTATATACTCTAAAAATACTAGAGTATGTTTTGAGACACTTTGCCTGTCCCTTTCCAAATATGCCATGAGTCCCCTCAATTGTCACTGCGCTTTAGTAATTTAGAATTGAAGTATGATTACATTTAACTTCTTTAAGCATATCTGGATGAGTTCCATATAAATACACTGAACCTAGAGAAATAATCTTAGAGAACACTTCTCTTTATTTTTCCAACACAACTGCAACAGTTTTATTAAATAAAAGTTTATTGTCTACGGCTTATAATTGGGTCCTGCTATGCATAACAGTCCTAGTATGAATTATTATTCATTGTTCACTTCCACTCAACTACAGACACTGCTTGAGAACTGGATCTTGCTTTAGGGACTTAGGGAAGGGAGAAAAGTACTAATGGGGCATCATATTGAGTGACTGTTGGGAGTAGAAGGCATAGCCAGTACAGCTGGACAGCACTCATAGCTGTCACTGGGACAAATGAAGAGCAGAAGAGGAATTAGAAGCAATTGTTTCCAGTGACAGAAATAACTTCAGTGCTTGATTTTTGCCCATCCAAGCTGAGTGGCAGTTTGGAGATGGGACAAATAAAGAGGGGTTGGGGCTGGTGAGGGAGGGTAGAGAACATGGATACGATGAGTTAAAAAAGTATAAAAATTATCTAAAATATACATTAGATATAAATGCTCCATAACTCATTAGGGAAGCTCAAAAATACTGGATAGTGGCAATTTGCACTACGTTTATTTTTAAACAAGGGAATATTCAGTGTTCTGAATGTTGTGTGCAAAGCTAATCCATGTCACTATCTTGCTGTCTGACCAACAGCTAGGCAGATACACTGCTTCCCAGCATCATGGGCAACACTAGATGGACAGTGTCAACAAATAATGTAAACTTCAGTTTTAAGGCAGCTGGTACTACTGCTGCACACAGACTTAGCTCAGCGCCCATTTTAGAAATGGGACAATTAGCACTGAAAACAACAAACTGGGGGGAGAAAGGGGAACCAGCATTATTTGACAGAAACAGTATGTCAAAATATTTTCCCTTTCACACACGCAAAGAAATATATGAACATTTAGAAAAACAAAGCACCCATCCCTCCAACTTCAGCCTGTTCCTTAACAAATATTTCAAAATACTGATAAATAATAGTGACTGCAAGCAGAATCCCAGTGCCAGAGCCAATGGCCCCAAGGAAGTCTGCTAACACTGACAGGGCACCAATGCACAAACCCCCAAAGGCAGCTGCTGTAGGGATGTACCTGAAAGACAAAAGAACTTCCATCAGGCACTGGGGGAGACAGGAAAGAAAACACAAAAGCTAGAAGCAATACAATGTACAGTTTTGCTTGAAATGGTTCCCTCCAAAGAAACTAGTCAGAACAGGACCTCACTAGAGACACCCAACATATGGGAGACCGATTAAGAAAATGATTTTAAATGGCCAAATTTTAAAAATGCTAATAGCTGCGATGTAATTTTTAGGACAGATGATTAGATTTTTAGACTGAAATTTAAGTATTAATAAATACAAATGGAATACATATTTTGTATCTGTACATATTGAGTATATATTTTGTGTGTGCATATGCAAAAATATGTACTCTATAATTCATATATTTTGCATGTTTAGTGTATATATAATATATATATTAGAGTTGGCCTAGAACTCATAGAAATCCACCTGCTTTAGCTTCCAAGTGCTAAGATTATATTAACAAACTATTACTTCTGACTAAAATTTGGGGTATTCTTGTTTGTTTAAACTGGATCTCATGTAATGAGGGCTGGCCCTGAACTCATCCTACCTCCACTTCCAGAGTTTCAAGATCAGAGAGACATGTGCCACCAATGTCTGGCTAAAATATGTAATATTCTTAAGCAGCTATCCTTAAGTTCCCTCTTGTAGGGTAAAAAACAAATTTCAAACCAAGTCTATATATATATAGACGCAAAATGCTCATACACATAAAATCATTTAAGATAGGAACATGCCAGGCATTGGTGATGCACACCTTTAATCCCAGCACTCAGAAAACAGAGACAGGTGGATCTCTGTGAGTTTGAGGCCAGTCTGGTTTACAGACAAGTTCCAGGATAGGCTCCAAAGCTACAGAGAAACCCTACCTTGAAAAACAAAACAGTGCCAGTTCAAGAAACTACTGAACAAATGAGCAATGTATACACAACTGGATTTTGTTGTACTGACTTGATACTCACTAGGCAGCAGCCCAGGCTGGCCTCAAACTTGGAATAATCCTGAGCCTCCCACATGTTCAAATTAAAGGTGTGAACTACATATTTCAACTGGATATATTGAATGGTATATGAATTTTATCCCAATAAAGCTGTCACCAAAGACCTGATGCCTGGAAACAGATCCCATTTCCTGGTTTGAGGGTGCCAGTATTTTAGTATTCTCCTGGTGGCTCATGTGCAGCCAGCCAACACTGAGAACTACTGATACATACTATTTTAACACTGAGGTAAGCAATGAAAACACAGTTTCAACTAAAAATTATATAGGCTGCCTAAACAAAACCTGAACAAGGGCAACACACCAGTAGACATGCTAACAAAAAAGAGGCCCCAACCCTAAACAAACAACCTTAGGTAACTAAGGAATACTGAGCAGGAGAAAATAGCTTTCCCCAAGGAAGAGCCCCAATTGGTTATCCAATGCCAAATGGTCAGCTCTAAAATCATGTATGTGTACAAGTAACATTATAAAGACTGAGCAGATTGTACTTAGATATTTAGGAGTGGAGATTTGTGTGTGTGTGTCTGTCTGTCTGTCTGTCTGTCTGTCTGTCTGTCTGTCAAGAAAAAAAGGTGAGATGCTGTGAACCTGAGAGACAGCAAGTCAGGGGAGTACACTGGAGGAAGAGAAGGGGAAAATGATAGTTTCAAAAAATAATTTAGAAGATTATAAAAGGGCCAATTTTTATGTGGAGAACAATTAAGTTTCAGTTAAATTTTACTTCTCTTGTGAAGAGTAGACAACTGTGAGTCCGAATAAAGCAAATGTGCCTTAGAGGTAAAAAGAAATGGCCTTGTGAGCTTACCTGTTAAGCTCATGGACCATGGAGGTATCTCTGTGGCCTCTCATCACCATCTGCTGCTCTTTAAGCTGCTTAGCCACCTGGCCGAAAAGAAAAACTTGAAATTAAAGTCTTCACATTTTGTTGCTTTCTACATTGAAAGTGTAAGAGCCTCAACACTGGCATTGTATCACTTATATTAAACATAGGGAACTGGAGGTCTCAAGATGTCTAATAGAGACTTTCCTTGTGCTAACATTTTTTTCCACAGGA